ATATATTCTTTATTTTAGTAATTTTTTATCACTATACAAATTCATTATACTATACAAAAATAATAATATATTTCTTTTATCACCTATCCACAATATTTTATCCACACCTTCACATCACATCAGCTTCTGCAAAATGAACAACAATCTTAGCTTTTCTTTTTGGAGAAAACTGTTAAAAATCATATTCACAGCCTGTGTGCAGGCATAATGACAGAAATGTGCATAATCACACCTGGGGATTAAAATTGTTTTTTTTTATATCTCCTCGGACCGTTGTGGATGATGTTAAATGATTGTGACATGGTGGTTTGGATGTTTTATTTAAATATGCAAAACAGCAGAAACATTTCTTTATTTAGTTCTTTTTGTGTATACTATGAAGTTCATGTTTAGTAAAGCGCCACATCATAAGATTTTCTTGAATCGTTTGAAATCCTGCAACTCCACAGAGATATTCACTAAGCTTTTTCAAACGGAGCACCTTGGAGAGCCAGGAAATCGAGAAAATTACAGTGTATGGATGAGCACATACACAAACATCCATCAAGAATTAAAGCTTAAATGTGCTTATTCCTCACCCTTTATTATGCCACATATAAATATTCATATTCAAATTCTGCCTGCCCCATCTTTCAGCTTGTGATTTAATCGGTGAGCGAATGGCATCACTTTTTGGCATCACCTCAGCTAAATACCAGTATGCCATAGATGAATACAGCCGGTCAAAGAGGGAGGTACGGTGGTCCTTTGTATTAATATTGTCTGAATATCAAAGAATCAGAATTCTCATATTTTAATGTTTTTGTTGCTGTTGTTGTTGTTTTTCACAGAAGGAGGAGAGAGATGAAGATACGCGGCTCTCTGAAGAGGCAGAGCACCTGTTTGAAGAGCAGCAAAATGATGAAGATGAAGATCCGAAGACCAAGCAGCCCGACAACAACAGCACTCAAGTACAGATGACCAATGAGCTGGACCTTCACCCTTCTTTTGTACCCAACACAGTTCACATCCCAGCTCTTGTTACTAGTACTTAACTACAAACATATTTTATCATATAATTGTGGTTTAAACACTAGCCGCTATTCTTTAAAGCACTTATTACCACTCTCTGATTTCAAATAGTAACTTGTGTCTTCGACTGCCTTAATGCACTGATCCTGGGCCAGTGAAACTATATATACTGATCATGGTGCTAATGAGGAGGTGAGACCAAAAATGAATAACATGATTACACTGAACATTTCTACAGTATGTGTAGTTTTTATTGACTCTGTACAGTATGTATGTATGAGTTATTATTATTAGTGTTGTGAAGCATTTGATGGACTTCCATCAATACAGAGACACATACCTCACACTGAATTTTCAGTTTTTATTTAATATACTGGTAATGCTTGATATTTGTCTTGTCATTGTTTGTACTGAATCATTAAATGGTTTTTAAATGGAAGTGTAATTGTTTTAAATGAATGAATAAAATACTACAGTATTATATCTAATGAGACTTAAATGTTTTACCCCCGGTTTCACAGACAAGGCTTAAGCCTAATCCCAGACTA